TAGCGCGATCCGACCTTGTCCTGTGCTACCAGCGCGGCATCGTGCTCGCCGGCGGGCGGCGCGTTCGCACCCGCGGCGAGGCGCCGTTCGCACTCGAGGCCAAAATGCACGAGACCGTACTCGATGAGGGTGAGCCAGTTGAAGAACATAGAACCCCACAGGAAGTCGATCATCCAAACGCGGTAATTTTCGGAAGGATCGAGCAGCGGCGGCATCTGCACCGGGCGAGAAGAGGGGCGGCAAAGCGTCGAGAACTCAGTGAGGCTCTAAAGAAGGACATTCTCTGGCACGCGGGTGTGGCAGGGGCTTGGGTGGTGGCAGGTTCGTTTTCACCTGGCCCATTGCCCAGAAGAGCTGGTTCAACACCTGTTCACGACTGTCCAGATGATAGACGGCGCTCACGCCCGAGAGAGCAAGCACACCAAGCTTTCGTAGCGCCATCAGGAAGGAGAGGAAGCCGATGGCCACGCGCGCCGGGGCGGCGGAGACGGGAATGAAGAAGCCACAATAGGCGGCGATGACGAGGAGGATGACGATGGTGATCGAGAGGGACAGCAGGTTGGAGTGCCGCTCGAGCATGATGCAAACGCGTGCCACCTGCCGCAGCAGCTGAGGCGTGCCGAGTGTGCACGTATGAGATAAATATGGGGAAGCAATGCACCCTGTGGCCATCGGCTTCGGTCACTGTTCTCTGATCGACGATTGTGACGATCCACTCGCCCGAGTGGTACGGCTGTAGCTGGCCCGAGCCACCGCAGGCGACGGGGTTGGATGCACAATCTGGCCACTCGAGCTGGACCAACTCCTCGTTGTACGGGAAGGAGCGGAGGGTCGCTATGCAGAACTGCTCGTCGAAGGGCATCCGGCCAAAGTTGAAGGTGTCGCAGAGCAGCTTGTAGCGCGCGCGTCGGCTCCAAAGGACGGTGCCATTGCGGCTGCCACACAACCCCAAAGCTCACGTGTAGGGGAGCTTGCGCTGCCTGATTGGCAGCACAAGCAGCCACACAACATCCCGCTTCATCTCGCCTCCTAGTCTCGCCTCATCTCGCCTCATCTCGCCTCACCTCGCTTCATCTCGCCTCACCTCGCTTCATCTCGCCTCACCTCGCCTCATCTCGCCTCACACCTCGCCTCATCTCGCCTCACCCGCTCGCCTCATCTCGCCTCACCTCGCCTCATCTCGCCGAGGTACACCTCGCCTCATCTCGCCTCATCTCGCCTCACCTCGCCTCATCTCGCCTCATCTCGACTCATCTCGCCTCATCTCGCCTCATCTCGCCACTCGCCTCATCTCGCCTCATCTCGCCTCACGCTCTCCTCGCCTCATCTCGCCTCATCTCGCCTCATCTCGCCTCACCTCGCCTCATCTCGCCTCATCTCGCCTCATCGCCCCTCACCTCGCCTCACCTCGCCTCATCTCGCCTCATCTCGCCCCACATTTTTTTT